CCGCGTGAGAGCAGGCGGCGGAGCCGCGTAAGGGCCTGGGCGGGGCCGCGACAAAGCCGTCGGCGGGGCCGCGTGAAAGCCGGGGCGGGGCCGCGTAGAAGTTGGGGCGGGGCCGCGCGAGAGCAGGCGGCGGGGCCGCGAAGGAGCCGGGGCGGGGCCGCGTGAGAGCAGGCGGCGGAGCCGCGTAAGGGCCTGGGCGGGGCCGCGACAAAGCCGTCGGCGGGGCCGCGTGAAAGCCGGGGCGGGGCCGCGTAGAAGCCGGGGCGGGGCCGCGCGAGAGCAGGCGGCAGGGCCGCGAAGGAGCCGGGGCGGGGCCGCGTGAGAGCAGGCGGCGGGGCCGCGACAGAGAGGGCGGCGGGGCCGCGTCAGTGAAGGCGGCGGGGCCGCAGGGGAAATGGCGACCCGAGGGGTCGCTAAAAAAAAAGATCGCGCCTCGGGGGGCGCTTCGGTGGGCCCAAAAAAACGGTCCGTAGAAGGACCCGCTCTATACCATGTGAGAATAAGCGAACAGGAATTGATGAACTAGCAGTGAAATGAGTACAAGTAGGAAACCCTAGAATTGTGTACCCCCTATAGGGTAACCCACTGTAGCCTACACAAGCATAACATATATAATGTTTGACAGCGGGGCCGCTGAGGAGAAGGGCGGCGGGGCCGCTGAGTAGGGCGGCGGGGCCACTGCGGAGAAGGGCGGCGGGGTCGCTGAGCAGGGCGGCGGGGCCGTTGAGGAGAAGGGCGGCGGGGCCACTGAGTAGGGCGGCGAGGCCGCTGAGGAGGATGGCGGCGGGGCCGCTGAGTAGGGCGGCGGGGCCGCTGAGGAGAAGGGCAGCGGGGCCGCTGAGTAGGGCGGCGGGGCCGCTGAGTAGGGTGGCGGGGCCGCTGAGGAGAAGGGCGGCGGGGCCGCTGAGTAGGGCGGCGGGGCCGCTGAGGAGAAGGGCGGCGGGGCCGCTAAGTAGGGGCGGGGCCGCAGCGACGGGCGGCGAGGCCGCGGAGACGGGCGGCGGGGCCGCGATGCGGGTCGACGGGGCCGCTGTGACGGGCGGCGGGGCCGCACTAAAGGGCGGCGCGGCCGAAACGAAGGGCGGCGGGGCCGCTAGGGGAAGGGGCCGCTAGGGCGTAGGGGGGCCGCTAGGGCGGCTCGGTGAGGTGAGAGCCCGGAGCGCGACTCGGGCGGAGCGCGGTTCGGGCAGGAGATAAAAATTTTTTGAAACTCGATGTGGTGGGCCCTAGGCACAGTTCCCAAGGGGGGACCTGCTCGATACCATGAGGAAAGTAGAACGAAAATGAGATGACTAAGGAATGGAAGTGATACAAATATGCAATCCTGGAAATGTGTACCCCATATGGGCTACCCCACTATAGCCTACACAATATTATAATTTGACACGGCTGGGCGGCGCCATCACTGGCTGCGTCTGAGCGCTGTCCCACGCTGTTGTTTTGTGCAGATGCATTTGTCGGTGCGTGTGGTGGCGCTAGAGTGTTGATCGTTGATTGCTGACGCGCGGAGTCACGTTCCGCCGTGAGCGTCGCAATTTCGAGCGCCGAATCTTCGAGTTGGCGCACCAGACGGTCGAGCAGCTCCTGCGTCAATGTGGCGAGCGTGAATTCGGCCATGGCGGGGGTGTCGGGCGAGCTCAGCGAGAGCCTCGGTCGTGGCCGTGCGTGCTTACGAGAGAGCACTACGAGCGGCGATGCTGTGTCGCTGAGAGACGTCTACCCCCCCCAAAGATTGAGATAGTGGGGAAGCGAAGGTGTGGGTGCGGTCCGACAGGAGATCGTAGGCTCTGAATACCAAGTGTTACAAGTGCAATTGAGTGAACGAACGAGAATTGCACTATCGAAGCAAGAGTCTAATGAGCGAATGCATGAGCGAAGAATATATAGCGAAACTACAGTGGTAACGGTAATGGACTGTGGTTGTCGCACGACGGGCCTGGGACTGAGGTTGGGAAAAAAGTGTCGAAGCGGAGGCCCGGAGCGCGGGTTACCTGCCGAGCCGTGAGGTCGGGGTGCGATGTGCGAAGGTGGCGGGCGGATTGTCGATGCGAGGGTTGCGAGTGGTAACGGTGCTGACTGTGGTGCTACAGTGATGTACGCGTTGAGCAGGGATGCGAAGTAAGGAAAAGGAAATTTCCTTACACATAGCAAGGGAAGTGGACGTTTTGTACACATTACACTTTCTTACCTCCATTTGGTTGACTGTATCGGATGGTTGCCATCCACTGATGCTTCGCTGAAAGGTGCTGCACTGTACCTCTAGCTGCCCCCATTTTGAGGGTGTTCAGGATTTTGACTTTTTTCGTTTATTTCTCGTTTGCCAGTCGCACGAAGACACCTGGTGAACACACTTTGACCATCTAGGCGTTGGCTCATGAAATGCAGGCGGAATCCTCGTCGTTATGTCGGCTCTTTAGCAGAATTTGGGGTCCACGTCTTCACTGGCGTTTCACAGCACGAGCATGGACTTGGTCAGCACAGTCGGCCGCATCTATCCATATGAATTGGCGCGCTTTGCGTTTCGCATTTTAGCGTGATTATCGCGCGATTCCAGCCCCATTTGGCTTGACATACGCCTCGAAAATCGTCCCAGCAATTTTGGCTGAAGAGCCTCGGTTTCGCCCGCCTCGCCTCGTTTCGTTTCGTTTGGGAAACCACATTGGGAATGTCACAGAGCAGCAATATGTGACATTCCCTATGGCTAGATCATGCTGGCTGCTGCCCAGCTCATGCATGCCAGGCCAACAGCTGATGAGAGAAGGAGATGTAGCTCTTCGCCACTCGGCGCGCCCAACATGCAAATGCACATCAGCAACAAAACCCAAGGGTCAGCTTCAGTGGAGGGTTCCGCCGTCGCCTGACCGAAACCAGAATTGCGGGACGAAGCCAAAACCTACTTCCGCTAAGTGCGCTGGCAGTTTCAAATTTTGTCGCACGACCGTCCGATTGTCTTCGTGGCTCCATATCCTGCGTTCAATAGATCCCCAGTCTCGATGGATTAGGCCATTTGCGAGCCGAGCCGCGGTGTTTAGCACACCACCATTCCACAGCTCCCGCCAGCCCTTGACGGAAAAACAAAGCATTTCCCTTCGCCCGTCCAAGAGTCGGGTCATCTCATCGTCATCGGCGGAAATTTGCGTGTGGTGCGGGAAGGCAATTGCACCAAGCAGCTGTGACCCAAAACCAAGGACGGAACAGTGCACTATGGTCACTGGGGCTTTGAAATTAGGAGGATTCGGATGACAAAAGACCCGTGGTGTGGAGGAATAGCAGGGAAAAGTGCACTTGCTGCAAGGCGAGCCGAGCCAAATGAGAGCGAGCGTAAATGTCAGCTACATGTTACTCCTCCGTTCGCGCAGCGTCCCAGGCAGCTGAAGATTCCCCACCTCGCTTTCCCCTCGTATCATTCCCGAATTCCAGTCGACACACCCCGTCACCCGTGACCCGTCCCCTCTTTGTGACAAACCTGCGGATGTTCATTCGCAGAAGCAAACAATGCTCCTCACCTTACTAACTTCCACAGCCACACCCTGCATGGCCTCGTTCCCTCCCGTCCCCGTTCCGCTAACAAGAAGCGTCCAGAGTGAGCAAGTGATCAATCACGCGCCTCAAATGTCTCTTCAAGCCACCAGTTTTGAAGTCTAATAGAAAATATCACCGAATTCCAGTCGTGAATTCAGCAAGGAGGAGCTACCCCCGTGAGACGAAACGAGACGAGAGTTGAACTTCGTTATCTCCACCCCAAATCTCTTCACACGCCTGATTCCTAACGCCACCTTTCTTCCCCGACCAACCATTATAGCCGCCTATTCAGCGCCTTCACGGCTCCTCGCAGCCTCTGCCTTACTTTTTCCCTGGAAGGTCGTATCGTTTCTGAGAAGACTAGAATCGGAGCATTCCAAGGCGCCAGCTCACTCTCCGGTTGCACATTAATCTCTTAACTCTTGTACCCAGAGGGATCTCGAGCTGTCACCTCCTTATCCCACGCAGAGCTCTGTCATTGCCATTGTCCGTCTAAGCGGAACTTCTCCTGCCGAATGTCGCGCAGACTCTTTAACCCTCTATTGCTCTTCACTCACGAATCCACTCTCAGCCTTCCCCGCGGCTCGCAGCAGCTCTGCTAACCGCACAGCACCATGCAATCTCCCGCTTCTCGCATCAACTCTCCCCGCACCTCCCGCCGTAAAACCTCCACCGGTCCGGATGCTCCAAAGTTCGCGCTAGACTCGCCGCCACCCACGCTATCTCCGTGCTCCTCGCCCGCCTCGTGCTCCTCTTGCTCCTCCACGGGCCCGCGTGTGAGCCGTTCGAGGTCGTTGTGGCGGCAGGTACCTAGCGATTTCTCCCTCTCGCATGCGGATCACCAGAACGAAACCCCCGCGAGCCACGCTCCTCCGTCAACGCTCCAGTCAACGTTACCCCAGTCCTCGTCGCAGTCAACGTATGCGACAAACCGCAGTCCCATGTCAGCGTCCGCCAGCCTAGGCGACTCTTCTCACTCCCCTCGCGCCTCGCGTTCCCCCGTCCAGTCGCCGTCGCCGCGTCACCCCAACGGAAGCAGCACCCGCTCTCACAAAGACACCGCCACGCAAGCCAATTCCACCCATCAGAGCTTCGGACTTCTCCCGCCTTGCCTCAACTGCGCCGCCACTGGCCCCTGCGGCTGCCGAGCCGCCGCCGCCACCGCCGCAGCAGCAGCGGCAGCCGCCGCAACTGCCAGCTCCTCTTATGCCCTTAACGCGTATGGCGCATTTGCGGCAACAGGGTTGCCTCCGGGAAAGGTTTTTATCCTGCCGAAGAAGCTCGGCGGAAGGGGTCCGGGGACGGGCCGTCGGGCGTGCGGATGCCCTGCGCGGATGTGCAAGTGCGGCGCATTTCCGCCCAAGCCGCCGCACGCGAAGAAACCCAAGGGGAAAGGCCCGGGCACGGGGCGCAGGGCCTGCGGTTGTCCCTCCAGGCGCTGCGTTTGCGGCGCCGCGGCTTTAGTAGCTCTGCCGTTCATGCACGTTCCCGGTATGGCGCTGGGGTCTTTAAAGCCCGAGGCTCAGCTGATGGTGCAGCAGCTCGCGAAGTCCGCGCTTGCGCACCAGGCCAGCCTCCCCGCGCACGCCGCCGCCGCCGCAGCAGCCGCCGCGGCCGCGGCCGCCGCCTCCGCTGTTTTTCCAACGTCTGACACTAATCTGGCCGTTGCTGGTGCTGCCAGGGGTGGTGCTGCCACGTCTCCTGCAGGAGCCGGCGCTAGTTGCGGCGTGAGCTGCGGCCCTGCGCGCCGGGGGGGACAGGCTGGATGGGAGGAATCTTCGCCTCCCGAGCCCGAAACCAGTCGCTCGCACAGCCAGTCGCAGGGTCCGTCGCAGAGCCAGTCGCACAGCCAGTCGCGCAGCCGATCGCACAGCCAGTCGCAGGGTCCGTCGCACCGGTCGCAAGGCAGCGAAGGAGACGCAGGCTGCGCGAAGCACGCAGTGTCGCACGGCGAGGAAGGGCAGACTACAGTCGATTTTGCTGCTGCCGGTGCTCGTGCTCGTTCCGGTGCCGCTGCTGCTGATGCTGGTGCGGGAGTAGGTGATTCGTTCGAGGTTTCGAGCTTCAAAACGGGTGGATTTGTGGTGGACAGCGCGGGCGTGAAGCGCAAGAGGCGCAGCCCGCGCAAGGCGTCGTGCGCGGGTGAGATCGCGAGAGTGAAGGCCATGGTTCTGCGGGAGCTGGCAACGATCCGCAAGATGCGCTGGAGCGACAAGGAGCCCGCGTGCCGTGACGCGTCGGAGGATGATGATGATTATGATGAAGACGAGGAGAAGGAGGAGGATGAGTGAGTCTACTAACCATCTTGCTTACACATTTTTAGTCTGTATTTTTCTCGACCCTGATGGTCCTTCTTCCGGCCTTTTTTTTTTTTTTTTTTTTTTTTTTTTTTCCGTGTGTCTATCTTTTCACCTCTCATGCTTTTTTGCTTTGTTTGTTTGAAAGGTCGCACAAGTGTAAGCTTTTACCGTTTAAGAGTATTTGGGCTTATTTCATCAGCAACTTCCGTTCGTATTAAGCGTCCCTCTTCCTTTAACTCCCGTTCGTCCTTTCTAATTATAATCTTTATCCTGTCAACAGCAACGTGTTCGACAACTCGCGCTTGTCGGGCGCCAAGGCCGCGCGGAAGGCGGCGGTTCACGCGGCGCTGGTTGCGCGGGAGCTGGTGGAGAAGCTCGCGCTCTACTGCCGCGCGCGGAGTCAGTGCGCCGATGATAAGCCCGCGGAGAGTATGCCAGGTCCGCTCAGCGGCGTCGGCAACGGCAACGTTACGGGCGCTGCGAACGGCAACGGCAACGGCAACAGCAACAGCAACTGGAGGGCCAGATGCAAGCACAGTGTCACGGGGAACAAAAGGGAGAAGGCGGCGGAAGAGGGGGCGGAAGGCGAGGAAGAGGCAGCTAGTTACCACGCGCACCATAGCTCTAGCAGCTCCCTCTCATCCTCGCCTCAAGCAGCTTTCCAGGTACGGTAATTACGTCCTTTACTTTATGTTGGCGTCATGTTTTCTCTTTTTTTCAAATGAGAAGATTGCTGCCCGACTCTTTCGTGCCTCAATTTCCAAAAGCTTTGCTGTTTGTCGTCCTTCTAAAACTTTTTTTTTTTCTTATAAGGAGAAATAACCAAGCTTTAATTTATATTCCGGTTTCCCTCTTTTGCAACTTTTGCAGGGCTGGTCCATTCGGTGCAAGCACAAGACTGCTGCTGCTGCACCAGCCTCACCTCCCGTGCCAGCCACGTCAGCCTCCGCATCAGGAGAGGCCCCCAAAGTCTCCCACGAGCCGCTGCTGCTCTGTTCCGGGATGTGCGGCCGCTACTTCCACGTGTCCTGCATCCAACCTCGCCACGTCATCACAGCATCAGGCCCCGGATCGCCCCTGCCGCGCCGCATTCCCGCTTCAGCTCTGCTTTTCACAGACGACGCTGCGGCCTCTGCTGCTGCCTCTCCCTCCGCCGCTGCCTCTCCTGCTGCTGTCACCGCTTACACCACCGCTACTGCCGCTACCGTCTCTGCTGCGTCTGCCCGTTCCCTGTGCTGGCGATGTCCGTCGTGCGAGGCATTGGAGGAGTGCTCCGCTGCCATTCACGCGCTCCTATCAGGCCCTGCCGCCGCCGCCGTGGATGGCTGCGCTCACGTCGCCCAGATTAAGGTGCGTCCGCTTGCTTGTGAACGATCCTGAGCGGATTATCCAGCTTCCAATCCTGCCCCTGCCCCTTGTCCTGCCCCTGCTCTTGCCCCTGCCCCTGCTACTGTTCCTGCTACTGCTACTGCTCCTGCTCCTGCTCCTGCTCCTGCTCCTGATCTTGCTTAGAGTAAAGGTTGCCTTTACGGATCTGAGTCGAGCCGAATGTCTCTTTTCTCTGCCATCGAGTTTGTCTCGTGAGTTGTCCCGTTTTGTCGAGGTGTTGAATCTAACGTGTGTGCTTCTGTTCCGCTCCCCGGTGTTCCGTCTCGCGCCGATCCGGATCCTTCCAGGAAACTCTAATGGCGGCCCTCCACTGCATACCCTCTCCGCTGGCCACAAGCATGCAAGTTTCGAGGCAGCAGCGTGTTGCTGCAGCGTCTGCTGTGGTGCACGGCGGAGAGGAGGGCCAGGAGGAGGAGGAGGAGCGGGGGGGCGGGGACGATGGGAGCAAGCAGGCCGACGCTGCTGCTGACGATGGTGATGATGATGGGACTGATCATGCGCAAGAGGAGGAGGAGGAGGAGGAGGAGGATGAGGAAGAGGAGGAGGATGATGATGATGAGGAGGATGATGATGAGGGTGTGAGGCACGAGGGCGAGCAAGGCGGGAGCCGTGATCCATGCGGCGAGGGCTTTGAGGATGGGATGATGACCCATACGAGGCGAGTGCGTCGACGCGTGCTTATCGAGGAGGAGGGGGGAGAGGGAGAAGAGAATAAGGAGGAGACGGGGGAAGAGGGAGCGGGAGAGGGAGAGGGAGACGAGGAGCAGGAGATGGGGGAGGGAGGCGCGAGGGGAAGGGATGGGTACTACACCCGATGTGCCTCTGTGGATCCAGAAGTCTTCCTGTCTCCTTGCATTGGAAGCACGTCAGCCATGGTGAGCTTTGACCCTCTGCTCCCTCCCTCTTCTCCCTCTCTCTCCTTCCCCCTTCCCCCCACGAGATTCCTTCTCGCCTCCCTTGCCCAACTCCCACCTTTCCTCCCGCTCCTCGCTTTCCATCCACCCATCAACAACAACAACAACAACAGCAACAACGATAGAAACAACAGAAACAACTACTAATCTACCCTCCATGCGTTGTATTTCCTCGCCTCTCTCTCTCCAGGTGCCAAGCGTCAGCACTCCATGCCACCAACTCACGCCAGCCAGCCACTACCAGCAGCAGCAGTCGTCTCACACATCACGCCCCTCAGGCATCCCCTCCCCGTCCTGGCTCTCGCTCAACGGCTCTCCTTTCAAGCCGCTCGCCTCGCTCGCTCTCTCTTCGTCACCCGCCCCCACTGGCACTGCTACTGTCCTCGAGGGTAAGGGTAAGGGCGAGCAGACACTAAGTCCGAGAGTGGAAGCACAAAAGCCAGCAGCAGAAGCAGCTGCTTCTGCTGCTGGGTCCTGTCTTCTTGGAGGTGGCATGGCAGGCAGCAGCAGCATGACCACCATGCCCTGTGCACCCTGCACGCCTCAGCCCACCACCACCGCCATGCACGCTCACATGCAGCTGCTGAGACGACCCACCCTCACCCCTACCACCGCCACCACCACCACCACTACCCTCACCTGCATGGAGTTAGATTCCAAGGAGGAGCAAGAGCAGGAGCAACAGGAAGATAAGGCTACGTACACTACGTACAGCAAGGCGTCAACACAGCAGGAGGAATCGGTTGTGAGATCGCCTAAAGCACTCACTGGCCCGGTGACCCCTCAGCAAGGGGCGTGCACACGCTATCTCCATGTTTCCTCCTCCATCCCTTCACCATGCTCGTCTCCCATCGGACCTGGCCCTTCGAGGTGTTCCGGGCCTGTAGGGTCGGGCAGGAGCTCCGGCGTGCAGCTGCTGCGTCTGCCCGACATATCGCTCGCTGATGTTGTCACATCGGTCCCTGCTGCAACTGCTGGTGCTGGCTTTGTGACGAAGCTGTGGCCCAGCGGTGCTGCTTCCGCCTCGGCCTCGGTGTGTGTTTCACCGTCTGCTGCTGCTGCTGCGGCTGCTGTGGCTGTGGCCGCTGCGACTCCTGGTGGTGCTGCAGCGTCTGGCTGCGCTCCACTGGGTATGAATCACCTCCTGCAGCACAAGGTGGAGGAGGAGGGGGATGATGAAGACCTAGACATGGAGGAGAAAGAGGAGGTGGATGAGGATGAGGAAGGGGAAGAGGGGGAAGAGGCAGGCACTCCCCGGCCAGCAGCAACAGCCAGTGGCAGCAGCCCGTGCACAAGCACAGGATCGCCCGTGGCTCCATCTCCCATGGGAGGCGCTGGTGGGAGTGGGAGGAGGAACAGGAGGAAGGCGTCCAAGCCCCGAAGCTCCGCACTTCCAGAGGTAAATTCACCCTCGTTGCTCTATGCTCCCGTCCTCCCGCACTTGTGCAATCTCCTCACATCCTGTTTTTCCTCTTGTGCATTCTGCATGCTATTCCTGTCCGTATGCTTGGGTGCATCTGGTTTACCCTGTCCTGACCCCATCTCTCATGTCTCTCTCTTTCTCTCTGTTTCTCTTCCTGTACAGGATCTGGACTGGTGTGCGCACTAGCCATCCTAAGGGAACAGCCAGTTCCCATCATACGCAACTAACACGCAGTTCCAAGTCAACACACTGCTCCACCACTCAACGTCAAGCTCTGTCAACGCTCACCGTCTCGCAACTGTACCCTCTGTCAACCTTCAGCCATTTGAGGCCTCTCTTCTCTCTTCTCTCTTCTCTCTTCTCTCTTCTCTCTTCTCTCTTCTCTCTGCCCTCTTCTCTTCTGTCTGCCCTCTCTCTCTGCTCTCTCCGGGCGACCCTGCCTCTGTTGCTTGGCACACTACTAACAGGCCTCCCTTTCACGTTGAAGCTGAGCCAGTCTGCTGCGTGCAGACCCACAGCTGTTGCATCTACACTGCTGGTCAGTCGGACCTGACCTCTCGTTACACACACACACGGATTCAAGGCGGTGAGCTGATATCACCGGCTTCGTTCCACTTCCTTCAGTCGGTCAGTCGGCCGCATTTACACATGGTGGGCTAAGCTGAGCGCATGGGTTTGGGTCCAGTGCACGACCCACTCTCTTCGCCTGTGCTGCCAACAGCCTCCCGCCTCCCTCCATGAGTTGCAACTTGCAATGCAGGCTCCGTTCAGCTGCTGCCAACGGGGCTATACTGAGTTGGGGTAGTGTGCTACTGGTTCATGGTGCACTAAAAGGTGTGCCGCATGGTGTGTGCCACCCCTCTCCCTCATACGGCTGGCAAGCCCCAATCACGAGATTTGAACTCCTGCTTTGATTTGTATTCTTTTTGTACAATGATACCTCAAAGCTTTTACTATTTGTTAAGATTTGCGTGGATTTTCCTGAGTACACCCTGACATGATTGTAGCAGCCAGCAAAGAGGTAGTCCATAGATTGCGCAAGAAAATGTTTTACCAACAACCAGGGCCCAAAATAGGTATTAGCTCACTCTTTCAAATCAGGGTGGCATCCTCTGTACCCTGACTGGTAGGGTAAAGTTTCTCATACACTGATTGTAGCAGCCTAAAAATTTTGGTACACTGATTTTGGCAGGATAATATATGTCGTACACTGTTTCCTTCCTAAGCATAAGATTGTACTACTACAACAATTACTTAGTTATCACTAAAGTGTTCTGCACTGCACATACAAGCTTTACTACCAACCAAGTTAAATAGAGGGCCCTACAGAACACACTAGTCAATCAACATCTGCTGCACTAGCAACTGCCTCGTCTGCAAACTGCTTAGTGCTGCTGGCCTTCATGCCGGAGAAGTATTTGGTGGATCGCCTGAGCTTCTCCCCGCGGAATATGGCGACCACCTCATACCAGTCAATGTCGTACTGCAGGAGGGAGCACCGCATCAGGTGCTCAAGGCTTGTGTCGCCGAGGCTGCCGCGGTCCCACGTCTTGATCAGGTTCTGCTTGCTGAAGCCGCGCTCACATTCAACCGTGCTCAGTGGTAGCACGGCAACAGACTGCCACATCCGGACGATGTTGGGGAACGACGCACGCCACGCCTCGTCGCGCAGCATGTTCCCCAGCGCCTGATGAAACTCCTCGCCATTGTGCTGGGAGAACATGGTCGAGAGACGGGTGTGGCTCCCGGGACTTTGGCGAGGCCGAACGCTCGCACGGGAAAACGGTGCCGACAAGAAATTCAGGGGATGGCTCACGCGCAGGCTGAGAGATAGGGACGCTATAGTTCTCAGCCAGCCGAGGTAACACACCGAGAACGGAGAGACCGTTCCTGGTGCTACCAGGCGGATCAGGCTCAGAGGCAGGCATTCGGAACAACAAACGAGAGGGAAACGAGAGAATGGCAAGAGCCTGAGAGACCCCTCGGGAATCACAAAGCCCAAGGCGCCTCAGGCAGCAAGGTGCCCTCCCTCGCTGGTAGGGAACTGCACGGCAATGGCTGCAAGGCCACAGTGACTGCCAGGTGGTGGAAACGACAGCACGTGGCGCGCAATTTGCCTCCGTTGGCAGTGCGCGATGTTGCGTGACGCACGGAAACTGGGTGCGTTGGCTTCAATGTCGCTCAACGGACCAATCGTAGGTGTGCGGTGCCATCCGCCCTGAATGTACGTTGGCGCGCCAGTGGGTGTATCCAACAAATGGTCCAGTGGGACCGTGGAGCATTTCGTCGTGGCGCGGACTGTGGCGGAATCCGCGGTACGGAAAAGTTCCGGTAAAAGGGTAGTTGAACTCCTACCGTGATACAGTCAGTGTAACTGGAAAAGCTACAAGAGTACTTTTAAGCGTATTCTGATTGCACTAGGGTAAAAATCTGCATACCATGATTTGAAAAGGGTAACTGCCAAAAAGTGGCCTATGAGCAGGGCAAAAAGGGTAAAATACCATTGAAATTTGGGCCCTGCCAACAACAAATATTGTTACTGTCAGAGCATTATAGCTTATGCTTTTGTGTAGGCTGTAGTGGGGTAGCCTATATGGGGTGCAACCCAATTAGGGTTAGTACTTGTACCCAACTCTTTCATAGTGCATTCATTCTCGTTCATTTTAACATGGTTTCAGAGCACATATGCTCCTGGCATGTGGGCCCTACTACTGCTTCCGCTGCTACTCGATCTGTCGCACGCCCCGTGGCGTGCGACCTATTTGGCGCGCGGCAATTTTCTCTCTGGCGCGCACCCCGAGGCGCGCGGCCCCGTTCCTTCTAGGCTCGCCACTCCCCGCTACCCCGTCGCGGCGCCCAGAGGAGCCGCGCGCGACCCCTCTCTGCCCCGTCGCGGCCCCATCTCGTTGCGCCGCCCTAGCGGCCGCGTCGTGCCGCCCTCGCGGCCCCGATCCGCCGCCCTAGCGGCCCCGTCACCTACCCCTGCGGCCCCGGCGCCGCCCATCCCGGCCCCGGCTCCGCCCTTCCTGGCCCCGGCGCCACCTCGGCTGGCCCCGTCGCCTACCCCGGCGACCCCGACGCCGCCCTTCCCGACCCGGCCCCGCCTCTGCTGGCCCCGTCGCCTACCCCTGCGGCCCCGGCGCTGCCCTTCCCGGCCCCGGCGCCACCTCTGCTGGCCCCGACGCCGCCCTCACCGGCCCCGGCGCCGCCTCTACTGGCCCCGTCGCCTACCTCTGCGGCCCCGGCGCCGCCCTTCCCGGCCCTGGCGCCGCCTCTACTGGCCCCGTCACCTACCCTGCGGCCCCGGCGCCACCTCTGCTGGCCCCGTCGCCGCTCCACCCGGCCCCGCCGCCGTCCCCAAGCGGCCCCGCCGTCACCACTGAGGCGCCGGCGCCGCCGAGCTGCTACCGAGCCGCCCGAGCCACCCGAGCCGCCCGAGCCGCAGCGCCACCTGAGCCGCCCGAGCCGTCGGGTCGCTGAGCCGCCGAACTGCAGTTGCTGCCGAGCCGCCGTACCGCCGAGCCGCCCGAGCCGCCCGAGCCGCCCGAGCCGCCGAGTCGCCGAGCCGCAGTTGCCGCCGAGCCGCCCGAGTTGCCCGAGCCGCCGAGCCGCAGTTGCTGCCGAGCCGCCGTGCCGCCGAGCCGCCCGAGCCGCCCGCATCGCCGAGTCGCCGAGCCTGCTCTTCCCACCACTGGTGAGCCCCTGCCATGCTAGCGCGCTGCCCGCCGCCTGCTTGCCTGCGTGCCTGCCTTTCGGCCTGCCTGGCTGCTCGCCTTACTGCTGCTACTCCTGCTCCTGCTTCTAGTGGCGGAGCCAGATGCAGCTTCAGCGACGTCCGCGTGAGTCCCTCACGCCCCAGCAGCTGCGTGAGTGGTACGCTCGTTGGGGTTGTAGGGGTAGCGGCGCTGCTACTGCTACCGCTACTGCTGCTACTACTACTGGCGGCGGCCAGATGCAGCTCCAGCGACGCCCACGCGCGTCTCTCACGCCCCAGCAGCTTCGTGAGTGGTACGCTCAGAGTAGAGGGTCTCTCAGTTCTGTTCGCTGCTCTTACGTGATTCGCACTGGTGCTCGGACTGGTCAGCCTTTTGGGACACCTAGTCACACACAGTCCCGCTGCTTCGCCCGTCTGAGCGACGCCTGGCGTACCGAGTTTGGCGACGAGGCTGAGCTCCCCGACTGGGTGGAGTTGCTTAGGCAGAGGGAAGATATATTTGCTCTTGACTATGATGCTATTCTCACTGCCATGTATGCATTGCCTACTAGTGCTGACCGCGCCGGTCACCTGTGCGTACCGCCTGACCCGGGTATAGAGCCTGCTGCTCTAGTTGCTGGTGAGGCTGCTGCTCTGGGTGCTACAGAGTCTCCTGCTCCAGGTACAGGTGTGGTTGCTGCTCTAGGTGCTAGTGAGTCTGCTTCCTCAGGTGCGGGTGAGTCTGCTCTCTCAGGTACCGCGTCGGCTCCGGCCTCTCACACCTTCACTCTTGACTCGGGGGCTTCCCGCTCCTTCTTTCGAGACCGCACCACACTCACGCCGCTTGGTCGGCCAGTTGCAGTCTCTCTGGCAGACCCCTCTGGGGGTCCTGTCCTTGCTCACTTCTCCACTGTCCTCCCGTGTCCGGCGGCCCCCTCTGGCACCCTGTCTGGTCTTTACCTCCCCTCGTTCTCTACGAACTTGGTGAGTGGTGCTGACCTACAGGATGCGGGGGTTCACCAGTTCACTCCTGCGAGTCAGCAGGTGACCCACTGCACGAACGCTCGGACAGGCCGACACCTGGCCACGTTTACACGTCGGCCGGGGTCGAGCCTGTACACGCTGACCACTGCGTCTCCTCCAGTCACTGTGTCTGGTCAGGTAGCTGCGTCGGGTCAGGTGTTTGCTGCAGCGTCCAGGTCCGGTCCTCAGTCTGCCCCCTTCTCGTGTCGCCTCCTGTCTCACGAGACTCTCCTCTGGCACCACCGCCTAGGTCACCCCTTCCTGCTTCTTCTCCGAAGCATGGCCTCCCGTGTCCTTGTCTCTGGTCTTCCCCGGTCCCTCCCTCCCCTTCCTTCGGGGCCTGGCCCTACCTGCGTCCCCTGTGTCGAGGGGCGGCAGCGGGCTGCCCCTCACTCCTCTCAATTTCCTCCGACAGAGGCCCCGCTGCAGACGCTTCACATGGACGTGTGGGGCCCGGCCCGCGTCCGTGGACAGGGTCACGAGCGCTACTTCCTGCTGGTGGTTGACGACTACTCGCGTTACACCACAGTCTTCCCCTTGCGCAGGAAGGGTGATGTCACTGGGGTGTTGATCGACTGGATCCGCGCAGCTCGTCTCCAGCTCAGGCGGAGCTTCGGCTCGGACTTTCCTGTTCTGCGTCTGCACTCTGACAGAGGCGGAGAATTCTCTTCTGGCCTTCTGCGAGCCTACTGTCGTGCACGAGGCATCCGCCAGACCTTCACGCTTCCGGACTCTCCGCAGCAAAATGGGATTGCTGAGCGCCGCATTGGCATGGTCATGGACATCGCCTGTATGTCCATGATGCATGCGGTTGCCCCCCATTTTCTGTGGCCGTTTGCGGTCCTGTACGCGACGCATCAGATCAACCTTCAGCCCAGGGTCTCCATGCTGGAGACCTCCCCAACTTTGCTGTGGACGAGGAAGGTTGGCGATGCGTCTGCGT